GACTTGGCCCACTATGTCATGTGATTTTGTTAAATACAAAATTGAATTGAATTGAGAACATTGATTGTTCAGCAGGTATAATGAACTGTTAGCATGTTAGCATGCTAAATTTTATATTAAACAAAGTAAAGCACAGGCTGATGTGCATGTCCTTAGTTTTGCAGTTAAGGCAAACTAAAAACGAACCCAATAATGGGGCTAAAAAGTTATTAAACTGTATTCTGAGGGGAATGGAATATCAATATAAATGTCACGGCAATTCTGTAATTGATGTGACATTTCAATCGAAACCACAAATGTGAGTGTCATGGTGGCACTAGATGAAAGAGTAAAGGGATCATCAAAGTCAGACAGATTCATCCTCGGGGATGAATTTCACTTATATTGCTACTGCTATACCTGTATCACTAGCATGACGACAATATCATCTTTACTTGCACAGGATCTTAAAATATGCAAATAGTGCATAATATGTTATTGTTTATCCAGAAAATGACCCAAATCAACCTCCTTAGAGCAAAATATAAAGACATCAAGTGATATGCCCCTAATGTGCTGTATATATTCTATGTGCCAGCAGTTGTGCAGGGGGTGGCAGTATTGGTTGTAAAACAAGTTGTGCTCGGCAATATGTGTGTTGTCTGCCTTTGGTCTTTGCAGCAGTGACCTTGCTGCTGTTACTTTCCCTCAGCTCTCCCGTTTGATTTGAGGCGACACTAACGATGACGTTTTTCTTGAATAAGAATGTTTTGCCAAAGCGTGCAAATTGCGCTGAGGCATTAGCTTGGCACAATGTTGGACACTGATTCCCCTGCGATAGCTTGTAAATTGTGTGCTGATCTATGATTGTCTGACTCTTTGTGTTGCTGACTGTGTTGATTCCTGCGAGCCTGGAATAATAATCACCTTGTAGAGGTAGAAACTCATGTGTTCTTTCATGTATTGACCCATAGTCTGTTTTTGTTTACTGCAAGGTCGGCTTTCTTGGACATTTATTTTATCATTTTGCATTTTGCGATCATGATGTTAAGATATCTCGACATACGAGAAAAGCTTTCATTATGGTCAGTGGCTACTTTCTGTAACACCAAACTTCAGAATGTTATCTTTGTTATCTGCTGTAAAATCCCAGCAATCCCAGTAGAACCATTCTTCCTGCGGAACCTTTAGTTACTCCTAAAGCTGGTCTTTGATTGTGACCCTTGTCTTTTTCCTCAGGGTGTAAGGTTTTAGAGACTTTTCTGTACTTATAGTTGGTAAATACATTTTAACAGTGTTATTAGTGTCTTTATCTCTGCCAAGGAGATTATGTTTTCATTAGTGTTTATTAGCACCGCAGCCCGTCAGCACATCCTACTAGATATTACTTTTAGGTCTGAAATTTTCCACTAAGCTGTCAGAGTTGTTCCATCTGTATGTTAGCAGCGTTACACGCACAAACTACAGGAAGCATTACCATGAAACTTGGCTCCACCAAGGACGTGTCAAACCCATAAAATATTGGTGTGGATCTAGACCAGGGGTTGGATCCAGGGATAATTTGTTCTCTTTCTTTAACATTGTGAGATAGGGCTTTTGCTACATTTCCATTGATTTCACAGAGAATACCTCATGGATCTTGATGAAAAAAAATCTGGCATGTTTAGGGGACAGATATTTGTAAGTTGCGACATAGAGCAGATCCAAAGAAAAATCCAGATCTAGTGACTCTAAGGGGACAATTGGGTGTTGGTAGTGGTATGAAAAATATCTGATTGTTATTTAAGCTAAAATATGATGTGTTTAGCATAATAGTAATAACTTGAAGTGATTTCTGGTTGCACTTCAGCTCTTTGGGCACAAGGCGGCAGCAGAAGATGACATTTTCTCTGCTTAAGACTGGCTGCTTGTCGGGTTCATCAACTGAATTTTCACTGGATACTGACAAACTTGATGGTGCAGACACAGAGTCTTGACTCTGAAAGTACAAACTAGTGAAAAAATAAAGACATGTTGCATAACATTAAAGCAGAACTGGTTATAGTACATGGTACAAAGTATTAAATTCAAGACACAAGAATATAGATTTCAAATTGTTTAGAGGGAAAATCCCTCGGAACTGTGAAACCTATTAGTTTTGGTCTTTATATAATAATCTCACAGCTTCATTTAAAACCTTATTTCTAAAATGAATAATAGTTCAAATACAAACAATTAATCAATTTTAAAATCAGTGCCAGTCAGTTGAATTCGAATCAATGAAAATGACATTTATTTTTCTCTTGACTTCAGATTGAATGACGTTCTTTAACACACTCCGACTGAATCACTAGAATACATCCCCTCTGCATCAGTGCACATTCTGCAGGCACCACATCTGCATATGAACGTGGACACACGCCAGCACACAAACAAACAGACGCACACATACATTCCCTCGCATTCGCGCACACACACAAACACACACACACACAAACAAACACACTGTGTACAAACCCAAAGTGAGTTCTCACAGACAGGAAATGATGTCAGTTCTTGTCTCCAAGGAGATGGAGGCAGTTGCTAAGATACTGTGACACTAGGATTTTTCTCTCTATTTTCTCTCCCTCTCTCTAACATGCACGCACACACACACACACACAGGAATGTCACCATGAATAACTCGAAACTCTCTCTTATATCTCTCTTATTCTTTTGCACAGATGGCACAGAGCACCATTCCAACTTTTTCAGTTTCATTCCTAAAAATAACCACCAGAAATGTCACTTTGTTCACAATCCCAATTGGACACTCGGGCCATTAAAGAGATCACTAATTCTCTTCAAACACATCTAATATAATCACTGCTACAAAAATGATTCATTGTCAATCTTCTGCTTTGAAATGTGCACGATTCCTCCCTGCCAGAGCGGCGAGGCCCGTAGCTACACCATGGAAGTGATGGATGTGTATCAGCCCCCCCTTCTTCTGAGCGTGAGCTGCACCTCTCCACTGCTATCAGCATGCCACATATGTCTTGGCACTAGCATGTTACTGCCAAATCCTCATTGCCCTCCCTTTCTCCTGCCCTGTGGCTCCTAACACAGCATTAAGAGTTTAAGGGGGCTTGGGTTGTATTGGAAATGCCATGCACTCGTCCTCTGGATAGTTGGATTAGCTCGCTCCGCTGTATTTCTACTCCAAAAGCCTTCCTGTACTGATGACACAAGCAATACAGCGATGAGTGTTTGTTCATTTACTGTGCACAAATGCATGTCCCTCTCCCTCCCTGCACTCCATCGCTCCCACACACATGCTCAAGGGTGCTGGCGTGCACACAAACACACACACAAGCATACCATACGTGCATAAGGGGAATATCAGATTCAATGTGCAATGACACAGTGAGGACATAGAGTGGAGAGAGGGGGAAGGAGGAAGAGCAGAGGCAGAGGGTGGGTTTGGCATGGGTGGCGTGGAATCTCTTTTAAATGGCGCGGGGGTTGGAAGGCAAAAAAAAGATGCACCGAGAGAGGAGACGAGAGGCAGAAAGGCAGTGAAAGGCAGCGAGGGTCGAGCAGAGAGGCTGGATGTGGGCTAAGATTTCAGCTTGAGTGAGAGGGAATGAGGAGAAGAGGGAGAAGGAGGGAAAGGAGGAATATCCTCTGCACCACTGTGTGACTAGAAATTTAATAGAGGGGGAGAGATAGAGAGAGAAAGCGAGGGAAGTAGAGAGGGGTAGATGGGTGGGAGAGAGAGCGAGGGAGAGGGAGGCTGAGGAGGGGGAGGGGAGAGGAAGAGAGAGGCAAAAGGCACAGAGACCTCATTGCTGTGCGGCTTTCAGCAAAAGCTAGTGGTCGTGAACAATGCTCACTACGGCATTCACGGGGAGAGGGAGGGGAGGAGCGAGGGAGAGGGTGAGGAAGAAGGGAGATGGAGAGGGAGGTGGGAGAGTATATATCTTGGGGGTCTTTCTGAAGCAGTGCTGGCCTGCTCTGTCCTTTGACCTTTACTGTGAGCTAAGACGGACTCAGATTTATTTTTACGCACAAACTAGAGGACACAGAGCCACAAAGGGCTGCTTCTCTCCTCCTGCACACATCTATCAGGGGGGTGATGATGATGGTTTAGAGGAGCCGAGGCGCTTGACACGTGTGGACAAACACACCACGAGGATCAATACGCACAGGCCACGCATGCAGAGAGAAAGATCGGCATCTCTTCAATGACTAAATCTGTCTTTATCGGCTAATAACTTGCTGACTTTCTTTCCATTCCCCTAATTGAATCCATTCAGTACTCAATTTATGCACATTAGCAGAGGATTCAAATGGTTTGGGTTTTATGATGTGCAAACCTCACAGGGTCGCAGGGCGTGGATGCTGACAGTGGGTCACATCTGGCGGCCGGTACAACTTTAACTTCACCTTCGAGATCTGCTCCGGGGACGAAATAAACAAATACTCAAAGTGCAAATCTGCAGAACACAGAAGTCACTAGTTTGCTAGATTACCACTGAGCATTCATTATGGTGTATAGGCCTCATACTCTTTCAGGCTCAATGGGCCGGAGATGTTTGTCACTGCAGATGTTTGGTGGCTTTTGTGGTTAAACAGGTGCCCCCATGACACGGTGGTGAACACCGAACACACTGCAGAGCTTAATATCTCACTTTAGCATGAGTAACACACTGACTCAGATTAATGATCGTTGAGTGCTGCTGAGTCATATTAATACATACTCATTACATGACTGGAGCACAGATCATATTTAGAAAACAAAAAACCTGCAGAAAAAAAAAAAAATATATATATGTTTATATGTAGATCTGGTGACAGCCAGGTTTGGATGGAGATGTTTTATCCAGAAGTCCTTGGTCCTCCATCTACTCTTCTAATGCTGCCTTAGTGGGATTCAGGCTGAAACATACGGAAAGTGCGTAAAAGGAGTCGCTTATGCTGGACGCAAAATGCTCTGCCCAGCGGGCGCCGTCGCGTTTTGCTGCCTGCGTTCCTCCCCAATGATGATGATAAGGCGCACGGATGCACTCGTCCAGGACCTCGCTCCTACATGTGACAATACCGACATCATCTGCTCCAGCGACCCTTAATCTCATCTCTGTGTTTTTATTTATTTGCCAGAGTTTGTGTGTGTACATGTGTGTGTCTGTGTGAGTGTGTGTGTGTGTGTGGATTCTGTTCATCTTTAACCTGCCATCACTGTAGCCCCCCGCGTTGCGTTGGCGCTGCGGATCTAGTCCACGAGAACAAGAGGCAGCTCACAGCCGCGGAGACAAGCGAATCAATTTAGGGGGGACGAGGAGAAAAGGAGAGACAGACAGCGAGGCTGGAGGAAGGAGAAGAAAAAAACGGACGATCGGGGAGGAGAAGGAGGACGAGAGGAGAGGAGAGGAGAGAAAACATCGAGCATCGCGCCGCAAACATTGAGGTACGTGTGGATATTGGATGTACAGGTAGAAAAGGGGGTGAAATGGCCGGCGTAATTATTGCATGTTACCCAACATGCATGGATGCTGGAATCGCTCGTGGAATGATGGAGATCGGATAATGAAATGTTGCACGGAAGCGTAATAATCAGTACATCTTTAATACCAGTATAAAGATAAAGCTGTTATGTAGTGTTGTCTGTGCGGTGCTCATTGCAAACATATTTAAAAAAACAAAAAAACATGGCTCCTTATGTAAGTGTTTTTCTACACGTCCACACATTTTCCATATCTCGGCCATATGGATTATTCTCGGGGTGCAGTCGTGTTGTCATTACCCCAAAGACGGAGAATGGATGCAAGCCATTTTGTAATGCAGCATGTGCAGAATTAGGCCTATTCAGAATTTCAATTGCGTTCCCGAGAAGGTGCGCCGTAGTGCGCGCAGCTGCATAGATGAATAAGGCCATTCTGTTGAATTGTAGGAGATATTATGCCGGGGGGTGGGGGGGCTATATGATGAAGAGAGGTCGCAGATAAATGAGAAGATGCACGTTATGTCCTCTTTTTCTTTCTTTCTTTTTTTTGTGTGAGTATTTTTTATACATCCATCTGTTGGAGGATTGAGAGAATATACTTGTCATCATTTGCGGGTGGGGGTGGGGGGATTTGGCATCAGCCTGCAATTCCATCTTTAGTTTTTTAAATATAAGCAATGCTCATCACTATAAACTGGTGAAATGCATCCCAGCATCCTTCCCTGATTCCCACGTCCTGAATCAGTCTGGTGTTGTCATAGTTACAGTAGATGATGTTGGCCCTGCTGCACCTGAGTCGCTTTGTGTTCATCTCCAGACCGTCGGTAAATACATGAGGTCTAATTGGGCCTTTGCGTAGGCATGTATAAAGGAAACATCTCACGGCCATCATAGATGTTTTAATGAAAACAACAGGACTCTGCCTCTTCATAAACCTTAATGACTCTTTTGAGGGGGGGGGGGAGCGGGGCATTGATACAATCAGGCGCTTACGATGATGTGATTGGTTTGTAGCAATTGGTCAGCAGCTTGCAGCTAATTTGTCTTTTCACGACTGAGCGCTCTCTCAGGCCTGATCGAATAATCAATATATACATGGTTGCAATCTGCTCTTGACATGGAAAAACGGCAGAGATCAAGAAAGAGAAAATACCTCTGAGTGCAATTGGCTGGAAAACATACACCGTGTCATAAACCCCAAAGAGCGAGGATGAGGAGGGAGGCCGCGGGCGACAGAGTTGGCCCTAAGATGAGTCAAGGTGTGATTTTCTGAAAATAAAGGCCGTCATCTGCGTATATGTGCTGTTGCTCCCTGGTGTGCTGGAGAACTTGACGCCAGGTCAAGGCAACAGGCGTCCCTGCTTGTGGATTCAAGGTCTGTTCATGCAATTTTAACCTGTGTAGTTTACGTAGATGGTTAAACTGTCTCCCCTCAGCAACGCTGGCTCTGTGAGAAAATGCTCAGTTCCTTCACTGATAAGAAAAAGCTAAACATGAAATGCATTTGAGCATTTTGCCCCCCCCCCCCCCCCCCCCCCCCCCGTACTTTTGCCGATTTCAGAAATGGTGGCAGTGTCTGGAGGAATTCTTGCAATCCCATTTAACTACTATTGTTTTAAAGATATCCATTTAAAAGAAAAAGCACTACCTTTCTGTATTTTCAGTACCAGTGTCTTGAAAAACAAATTCTGATTGGACAGCAGTGGTGTGATCAGATCTTTGGCCGTGCTGAATATTCATGATGTTGTGTTTTGATGCCTCCATGAATCATTTTCTGACGAGCTAATCATTCAAACCACCAGGCCGCCATTCTGGATCAGATGCAATTCTGACGTCTGGAGCAGACACTGAGGCATTTTGCCTCTTTTTTTTTTCTCTTTTTTTTCCAACTCAAAGTCAAATAATTGAAATGCACAATTACCTGCTGGATGTGGATGAGCGAGCAAGACAGAGACTCTAAGAGAAAGGACAGCAGTATAAAGAACAGCATTAGGAGGAGTGTTGCAAAGGGGCTGCATACTGTAACTTGGAGGTTTAGAGATTTGTATTCGTAAATCTACATTTCGTCTCGAAGCGGAGATGGATGATGTTTTGTCAGTTCTGTGTGGCATTTGCACCCAAGTGTGTGTGTGCGTGTGTGTGTGTGTGTCAGAGTGAGAGAGAGTCTGTGGCAAGTGCACAGCATCTGAAAAAGTCTATTTTTAGCACACACTCCCTTATGACCTTTCTTAATAGCTGCTTTAAGAGTTCTCGGAGCTATGTTTTTAATAAAGACGGATGTTGACCTAATCCTCAGACCTTGTAGATATTAAGATTCATGGCAGGTTTGTTCGCTCTGTTTTGATATCGAAGGCCAAGGTTCGACTGTGTGCTCCGTCAGGTTCCCCTGCGCTTATGTAAATATACATTTTCATATACGTAGCTGGATTTGCAAGATCCAGTTTTTGATTCTCCAAGTGTCTCTTTAGCAAAAGGCCATTCATTGTATAGGCTGTCTGCAAATGAGGAAATACGCCTTAAACGTTATGTTAAATATACATTGATTTAGACCAAAAAGGTGTTACTGACCGGTTTTGCACGGCAAACGTTCATCAGGCTCAGCTAAGCACAGTAATGTGGAATAGGGCACTGGACAGTAAAAACACAAGATGGTGAGTGAGCAGGTTGCCACAGCAACAGTGTTTCTGGGTGGAGATGCTAAGAACTGCCATGGAAGCTTTTTTTTAAATAACCTGTTTATCAGAGAGTCAAATACTTACACAAATAAGTGTATCCTTTTTATATATAAAATCAATTATGGCAACACAGTGGTCACATAATCTGAAAGGTAACAAAGATCCTCTTGTTTGTGTTCAACAGAAGACACAGGGTTGTGACTGGCCGAATCTTAGTGTCGAGCTTGAGGAAACAACGAACACTTTCTCTTCGGTCGAATCATTATAAGGGAACGAGAACCAAGCATTTCTAAATTTAGTGAGTCTGCTGATGCTCGCAGCCATTTCTGTTTAGAGAAGTGTGTGGCACTCTCTCAACCAAAGTCACAAACAATACACGCATGCATTAAAAGAGCCATGACAGTATTTTTGCAACATGGTCACAATGCAGTTTTCGTTTTTGCATTTGTTTCACTAGTTTCAAGTCGGAGATGTTGTCTGATTGTGTGTCACTTGTTGTACACAGAATGGGCATTGCAGTAAAATCTCAGGAGTCAATAATCATTCCCTCATATCTTAATTGCTAAATTACTTCATGCAGGCATCATTTGTTATCTCATTTGTAATGCTGTGCTGCTGCCTCATGATGGATTGCATGAAACTCTGCATTAACCTTAGGTCTAGATGAGTCCCACCGGCAGCAGTAATTGCATCCAGCAACTTTGAATTCCTTTAAATGCAATATTCTACTTCTATCAGTGTGTATCTGACTTGACAAATGCCGGCATCATAAAGTGGACGATGAGATGACACTGCCATTCTAATCATTAGACTGCTGCACTCGTGACCCAGCTTGAGCTTTTGCAAATTTTGTAGCCATTTCAGACACGCCATGACCCAGATGTTGAGTTCAACCTATAAAGAAAATGGCAGCGGACTCACCAGCGAGGCTACAGGTCACAATTCTAGAGGCACCTCTTTGGAAACGAAAGCCAGACTCCGCTTATCGTGCAGTCTGGTGACAGGATAGTGTCATATTTTTGAGATATAAATTCTGTGTGATGAGGCTAATATCACCACTGCACACTGCACTTGCTTGACCTCTTTCCTATCTCTGCTTTTCTCTCCCCCTACAGTGAGAAGCACTTGCCTCCACAGAGACAACACATTCAGGAGCAACCCCACCCCCACCCTCCCGAATTTGATTCATCTGCAAAAGATTGTCATGGGAATCGAAAAAATGACACGTTGAAAGTTGTTTGTAAAAGATTTGTCAAAGAAGCATGAGCAAAGTAAAATAAGAATCTGTAAATGATAGATTTAATATTTTAATATTACATCACATTGTGTTCTGTGACTGTTTAAAGGAGGAAATAACTGTATAAGAGGATCAAATATGGACATCAAGATAAGCACTTAAATTCCCTCATTTGGAGGTGACTTAACATTATTGCAATAGGGGTGGGTCATGACTCAGTTGCCATGCGTGTTGTCACGGTGACCAGCCCCTGTGCCCCTTCCCCCCTCCTCTGGTTGGTCCAGCTTTTGTTGTGGTTTCACAACCATGGACCTCAACTCGCAGAGGCGGCGCCCCCCTGCCCCACCCCGTGCACCTGCTCCAATCAGGCGAGCCGTGTCATCTGTACAAGGAAGAGTTTAGATCAAGTCCCAGAGAGTATTTCAGAAAACACAAGATACCTCAATCTACAAGAAAACACCATTCAGGTAAATATGGCTTCATCTACGAGACGATCACACCTTCACACTGAGTAAATAGAAGTTGACAGCCGTAATTCTGATGTTGCTACAACTTGCCTTCATGTTTTTTGTTTCCACACTAGGTGATCAAGTCTGACACTTTTAAGCACCTGCGGCATTTGGAAATCCTCCAGCTCTCCAAGAACCACATCCGACAGATTGAGGTGGGAGCTTTCAATGGCCTCCCCAACCTCAACACGCTGGAGCTTTTTGACAACCGTCTCACAGTTGTACCATCACAAGCCTTCGAGTACCTCAGCAAGCTAAAGGAACTATGGCTACGAAACAACCCCATCGAGACGCTGCCGGCATTTGCCTTTCATCGTGTTCCCTCTTTACGCCGTCTCGATCTCGGGGAACTCAGGAAGCTGGATTTCATCTCAGAGGCTGCCTTTGAAGGTTTAGTAAATTTACGCTTCTTGAATCTTGGCATGTGCGGCTTGAAGGACATCCCTAACCTCACCCCACTATTACGACTAGAGGAATTGGAGCTGTCTGGGAACCAGCTGGGTATAGTTCGGCCTGGATCCTTTCAAGGCCTAGCATCACTTCGCAAGCTGTGGCTAATGCACTCCAGAGTGTCAGTCATCGAACGCAATGCATTCGATGACCTCAAAAACCTGGAGGAGCTAAACCTCTCCCACAATTCCCTGCATTCCCTGCCTCATGACCTCTTCACCCCTTTGCACCCACTGGAGAGGGTACATCTCAACCACAACCCTTGGGTATGCAACTGTGATGTTCTTTGGCTCAGCTGGTGGCTGAAAGAAACAGTTCCCAGCAACACCACATGTTGTGCTCGCTGCCATGCGCCTCCAGGTCTAAAGGGCAAGTACATTGGGGAACTAGACCAGAGCCACTTTACCTGCTATGCCCCAGTGATCGTTGAGCCACCCACTGACCTCAATGTCACAGAGGGCATGGCTGCTGAGCTGAAATGTCGTACTGGAACATCAATGACCTCTGTGAACTGGTTCACTCCAAATGGCACTCTGATGACCCATGGATCGTACCGAGTTAGGATCTCAGTGCTTCATGACGGAACGCTGAACTTCACAAATGTGACCGTGCAAGACACCGGGCAGTACACTTGCATGGTAACCAACTCTGCTGGAAACACCACTGCAACCGCTGTGCTCAATGTGTCTGTGTCAGATCCCAGCAACAGCTACAGTTATTTCACTACTGTCACTGTGGAAACAGTAGAGACAGTAAGAGGAGAGGAGGAAAACTCGGCAAGACAGTATATTAATGAGACCTTCATAGGTTTCCCAAATCCTACTGTTCAAAGAGGGGTGGTAGAGGGGAGACCTGGCACCACTATACCTCCCTCGCCTTTCTCTCCATCCTCACTGTCCCCACGAGATAACAGAGTTCCTGAAAACTCAGTGACTGTGTCCATAATGGATGTAACTAACATTCCAGGCCTGGATGATGTTATGAAAACAACTAAAATCATCATTGGTTGCTTCGTGGCTATCACTTTTATGGCAGCGGTAATGTTAGTGGTCTTCTATAAACTCCGGAAGCAACACCAGCTACATAAGCACCATGGCCCCGCTAGAGCCATTGAAATTGTCAACGTAGAAGATGAGATTGGAGCTGGGGCAGGAAGTGGCATCTCAGGTGGTTCAACGATGAATTCTGGCGTGGGTGGAGAAGGAACCCTGAGGATACATCATCCTGAAATAGTCAACCTCCCCAACATTGGCCGTACAGATACTCTCAACCATTACTACAAGACCCATCATTTCAACAACAACGTGATGGGTCTCAGTATTGGCGGTGAAGGGATGGGACCAGGAGGGATCATGAGTAGCAAGAACCTGCAAGGCCAGGATATCCCCATCTCCTGTACCTCAGTCCCAATCTCTACATCTAATATGCTCAGCTCATCAGGCAATGGCACCAATCCCAATTCTATGTCCCCACCGATGCCGATGTCTCTCCCCATGCCTACTATGGGCTTACATGGATCAATCAAGGGTTTCATGGGCCAAAACCAGAATCCTCAAATGGAGCCTCTTCTCTTCAAGGGCAACTCGAAGGAAAATGTTCAAGAGACTCAGATCTAAAAAACAAAAGCAAGGAGTATAGAGAGAGAGTGAGCAAGAGTCGGAGACAGAGAGGGGATTGATGTTGAGTTTATGCACGGAATGATTAGACACTAAGAGTGCATTGACGTTACACCAGGAGAGAGGATAGACTGACACTGCAATACAGAAACACATAGACTTATTCATGACAGTGTACTGAACCAAGGATTACCACAATGTGTTTGTAGTAACGATCATGGCCATGGAGATCAAGGAATGGACATTGCTACAATGTAAATCTGTGCCAAAGCAAATGTTTTTTGCAGTTTCTACAAGCTGTGTCCTCGTAGGGAAAAACTAGCCTTTCTGAGTAATCAGTCCCCAAATCGTTGTTGGCCAGCAGAGATGAAAGACATGCACAGCACTTACCACACTGAAGATCGGAGATATTACAGAAAAAAAAAAATTCGAAGAGACATTTTTCTTCCACACAAAACGCAAGCCACACTCTCTCTCAAGTGACTCAATAGACTCCCTCAAGGTGAAAATTATGTAGGCATAAATAGATGGACAAAAAGGTACAGTGCAGTACAAACTACTGTGAAAAATCCACAAATTATATAAATATATTTTCATTTAAATATGTATCATTGCAGACTCCGATGCAGAGATATTTTGGGGTGGATGTATAAGCTGGTATAGTTTGTTTCTTTGTGAATAATCAGGGGTGGCGATAGCGATGGTTGGTTATGATACATGTTTTAAGTTTGGCTACTTCTCAGAAACATAAGGGCTCAATTGCAACACTCATTGTGAATCTTTGAATTGGCTTTGTGACATAAAGTCCATTTAGGTTGTAGAACAGTAAATGCAGATCTCTGTTTGACAAACTTTTGTCTGTTGCTTCAGTAATAATCATTACAAACTTTTGTGTTCTAAGAGTGTATTATGTATTTTGTAAAAGCCAGCTACTTGGTATTTGAATTTGAAGATTCTGATACTTAAATGCCAGCATCAAATAATGGTAAAATTATGTTCCGCAAAACATGGAAAGGTAACTCGATGCAAAGTTCTGTATGGATAAAAATAAAAGTGTTGACAATGTGTTATTTAAATCAGATCAGTAGCCAGATATTTGCTTTTAGACAGGAATTTGATATGACCTCCTTGCTCATGGTTACCATAATCATGCCATAAAATGCTGTCATAGGGATGATCAGACATCTATCTACAGCAGCATTGAAGAAGGGATTAAAACATCCATCTTTGGATGATTGGAATGAATGGAAATGTACAGTATATTAATAATAATAATGTCTGGTTGTATGACAATTGTAAGATCCACATTTTTACAGTGTAACTTTCATATGTTAAATGCCATTTACGCTTCTTGCGTTTAAACTATGTATTTCTTTATTTTTGTTAGTTTGATATACTGTGTACAGTTGTCTAGCCATGTATCATTACGTGTGAAATAAATCAATCATATATTGGGTTGTGCCGGGTCAATGTGGCAACCACATGAGTAAAGAGTGAGACATTATGCAGGCCTCTGTACTAAACCTGGATTGAATGTATGGTTTGTGGTTTAGCCATTAGTCACCCTGGTAATGACAGGTGCCATCTGCTCTACTAACATGTCCAGACAGGCTTTTAGTCACTCTCCTATAGTTGCTCTGGTTTTGCTAAATTAGTGTTTTTGAAGAACTAGATGATGTTATTCCTAATGAAGGTGCTTTTGTCTGAAGTTAGCCCTCGATGTGCTTCTCCATGGCAATTCTTTAACACATGCTTTTGAAATGTGAAGTAAAAAAAGAAATCCATTGAATAAATCACCTTTCTTTGGGATGACAGACTGTATTTATCAAGCAGGAGCCTAAAATGTTTGTTGCAATTGAGCACAAACTGGACAACACCAGTTATTTTTAGATATATGTACCTGAGATAGTATTATCAGCAAAATCACATCGACAATGTTTTTGACTGTAATGCAGCTCTGTATGTGATTCTGCTGTGTTTTTGTTCTTTTGGTTCTTCTTTAATTTGCACCCCCTCCCTCAGAGGTGTAGTGGGTCTCTCTCTCTCTATATATGAGCTGTTTTCCGTGATGGTTTTGCTTATCAAGTTAACTCTTAATGGGAGAAAAGAAAACACTGAAGAATGGTAATAATGATGTTAATGGTGTGAGTGATGATATCAGAGAAACTCCACACAGATTGCGTTGTCGCAGAGGTTAATCCATGAAAGGAACATCTTCTGCATCAATGCACGGCACGTTGATCCTGATTAACGATAAACATCTAAGACATCTTTTGAAATACGCCTGTTACAATGTAAATGGATAACTCAGCTTGTCCAAACTGCAGCCACGCACTTTCCTCAACTTGTAGTTTTCAAGTGTGGATCTCATTCGAATCCATAGTAAAATGTAAATGTGCTGCGACCCGACCAGCAGATCTGGTGGGCAGGGTTCAACTGTAGCCCCACTGAGACACAAATAGAATATAAATGAAGGCTAAAGACACAACATATGGCCGTTCCCTTGATGTGCTACATGTGGTGGCTCTGTCATCAGATTTCAAAGAGCATATTCGATACCTCCTTGTGCGCTGCGTGTGAGGTTTTCTGCATCTCAGTCGCGGCACAAGATCTTTTCTTAATGCTACTGCTGCTGCTGCTGCAATGTTTTATCATGCTGGTGACTCACCTAATCAGCACAGAAATGTTCCTTTCATACCTCTGGACATCCATAACATGCACCGTGCACAGTTATCATCATTATTATTATTGTTATAAACATTCAGAGGAAATGCAGGAGGGCTTTGTTGCATCTTAGTAAAGTGGCTGCCATTGTACATACACAGTACTTGAAGCGATAAAACAGGAGGCTCATTCTAGGAATGCTAACAAACATGTGACACCTTTTTAATGAAGATCGCAAACTTGAGACTGGAATCTGAATATCCGCAGACAAGGCAAATGTGTCTCACTGTATATTATGGTGGCGAATTGATGCAGTCTGGCCACAGATGGAGTACTGCCATACACATGTATCCTCTGCACCAAACCTCGCTTACAATAGATGCTTCAGCCCAGATGACATTTCTTGGTTTTGTTCGGAAGCAAAACTCCTTAATGAAATGGATTAAATTGCAAGACGAGAAAATGGACTGACCTTTTGGTCCTTTAAAGGTAAGCTGTTCTGTTTGATAAATATATATATATATATATATAAAGAAAACCTGGGTCTGTTTTGAAAGATTTTTAAAAAGAACGAAGTGTTAAGATCTAGAAAATTTAGATTTCTTTAATATAAAAAAGGAAAAAAAATGTCATTTTGTGTTGTTATTCTTTTCTTTTTTCTTTTACAGTTGTTGGTTGTATCTCAGTATGTGATATTATCAATTTGGGGTCTTTATGTAATGTCATTAAATGTCATTTTTTCCCACGTATCCATCCAGGTACACAATGTGGCAGCAAAGTGTATTTCTTCAATTATAGCAAAAATCAACATGTGCTTCTCTCGCACTTCAATGACTGTCATACAATGACTGAGAGGTATATTATTTTACTGTTTGCTACTTCTGTGATTTAATTTTCCACCCACTGTAAGGCGTTACTCTGCTATTAGAAACATACACCACTTCCATTCTTTGTTGTGATTCCATCCTGAGGAGCGGTGCAACTAACTAAATGAAAAATGAGTTAACAAGTTCACAATCATGATGTTTAAAATTATTATTGCGTGAAATTTTATAAAAGAAAATGGAAAAAACAATCTGAACAATAATTGTGTTGACACTGTATTCTGATGCTTCATTCTCCTTTACACACTTGAACCAGGAAGGAGGGAACAAATATTCTAAATAACACCACGGTTAGACTCAGTGAGTCATATTGAAATATCTGGTAGCAAATCTAACTTAACTGAATTTGAAAAAAAAGTGACAGGAGCTGAATAAACTGTCAAACACTTGAACAAGTTGCAAGGTGTTGGATATATATTTATACAAGTTTAATTAAAAAAGGTTTCATTGACTTAAATCAAATGAACACAAAATTGTGGAAGTGAATTATAATGCTCAACATAGGCTGTAATTTCCCAGGAATAAATACAAATCTAACTGACCTACTAGTCTTTGCTGGTTAAAATCCTAATAACACATTGATTAAGAGGGTAGAAGTCCAGTTAATCTAACAAATTCAACACTTAGACATCCTGTAATCGCTGCAGCAGGGTAACCGCCATAATAAGTCAAATGCTCTGTCATGTTGCATTGGCGTAATTGCGCATTAAACTGTACTGCTAATTTTTTGTTTCATTTTTAGTGTATGTTGTGAATAAACAAATGTGACAGATACGGAAAATAGAAGGGAAACAAACAAACTTCATGGATTTGCATTATGTCGCTGAAATTTCTGGATGTAGTTGACTTAACTAAATGTGCCGGACACTTGAACTTCCTTAATACATCATTGTCACTACTGCTAATTTAGCAAAGAATTATAAACTGGAGCTTGATTCCTGCTCCACTGTTGTATTCTGCTCTTCTCTTCATCTGCACATCCCAGATTGGATATTTGTATTCTTATTCTTTAACCCCAGGGTGACGTGAAGCTGCATGGACAATCACAGATGTCCAACCCTCATTACGAAACAACTACCCCAAGGTATTCATGCATCAGCTATGAACAGTGATGATGAATTTGAACAATACGTTTAGATAAAATGTTTGGGCCTCACAGCAGAGAGACTGTCTTAGGGGGCACTACGTAAAGTAAAGTTCTTTAATGTAAATTTACTTGGCTTGGGTCTCCAGAGACCTCAGTCCCCATGAGATTTCCTGAGCAGGATGTTAAAGGGCCTGTGTGTGCACTGAAATCAATAGAAAATGCAGAGACAGTGTATATTGCTACATCGTAGTATTTTCTGAAAACTGTGACCCAAAGCAAAGAAGGAAAAAAAAAATGTAATCAAACCAAATGTTCTGTAACACCTCGAGGTGACTCATTTTCGAGCAGATATTAATATCTGTGTTTGGCTGTTTATTTTGATGCTGTTTCTCCGATTGTGTGAATGGTGAGCAAACATCTGGGCTTTGTCCTTTTGGAAAGCTAGCGCATATAGAATGTGCATGCAGCAGAGGTAAAAACATTAATATCCGCTGAAGATGAAAGAGAAATGCTCAAATGCAGCAACGTTTAGAGCATTCTGTGATGTTGGCTTCAATATAATGGGACAATTTTCAATTAGAAAGAAAGGTGGACTTCTGCTTTCTGCTCATTGAAGCAAGAATCCATTATCCACAGGAGGTATATATATCAACATAAATTCCCACTTGTAACTCCAAACTATGTGCTGGGCTCAAAAGAAATGAGGAAAACCTGCTGTTTGGATAATGCACATCCCCGTCTCCAGTTGCACGGTTATGGTGCAGTCATTTTCTCGAAATCCACTGTTCCCCCTGTGACACCCCCCCCATACTATCTCTTCCCTTCAAATTCAATAACCTCCCAGCTGTGTGTTTCTCCAGGGATTTCCCCAGCTATCCCCCCCCTGGCCCCCCTCTCCCCTCCCCGGCCCACAGACAGACTGCGGGAGTCTGTGGGGAACCTGACACAACATAAACTCCACTGTGAAGCAGAGGTGTCAGAGTCTGTGGGTTGTATCTCCGCCAATCGAGGAGCCGTGGAAAATGTGTAAACCCTTTTATTTCTCCACACTTAAAAGGATGCAGCCAAAAAAAAACAAGAAAAAACACATGTGTTAAATGCGAGAGTGGTGTGTGCGGAACAGCTGTGTGGGATGCATCCATAGGAAATAAGAAAAGTAACTAAGTATAGATCCCGTGGCCTATTTAGACGATGTTTATGTGACTAGAAGTTAGCAGGCTTAGCCCTGAGTGAGGCTGCAAAGTATTATGGGAAGTGTGAGGAGCAGATGACATGACCCACTTGGACTTCATTTGTGTAAGATACTTTAAAGGAAACCAGAAGCCGTTTGATTTAACGTCTGCTCTTTGTTTAAAGATTTAGATTTTTTGTGGAGAATCACAAGCTTACTACTGCTGCTCTCAAAGGGCTTCCTCACGCTGTACTGGATACTCTTTGCTTTTTGCCTCAGCCTATATTTAGATTTGCTCTCTTCTCCCACTGTTATTAAGAGCCACGCTGCACATCCCATTGAGATGGAAATAGTGTTTCCCTTCTTTCACCCAAAGATCTCGATTAATAATCCAGAGCGAGGGAGAGGATACACACAAACATACGAGGCCCATACCGGCAGACGTGTGTCTGGTGTACTTTCCAAGACAAACACTCAGAAGCCCTTGTAACTCCAGACAGTTCCTCGACTCCGCTGGGAATAAAACACTCAACCTGACCAGCGAGGTATGTCACCCGGAAAATAAGCCATGTTTGTTTCTCCTTCCACTAAATGCTGCTGAAGTCAGAGTGGTAGAGTTGCTGTCGTGTGTGTGTGGCGGTGCTCAGATTGATGATGCATGTTTCCAAAAGCTGTATTTCTGAAATTATGTATTCATTTAACATGTTCGTGTTTAGGCTATATGTTGATAAGGCGTGTGCATAATGAGCTGCTTTATAATTCTCTGGGAATAACAAAGAAAACAGAAAGGAGCTTGCCCATAAATATCTCACCAGTGATGCTTGTTACTCTGTAGGCCTGTGGTGGAGGCTGAGCTTTGAAGTAATTACTTTCCTATGAATATCTCGTTTCCTGCATACATTATATACGCAGACACTTCCCATGTAATTACTGGAAGGAAGGTATGTTGCAAATTGTTCCCGAGTGCTTACACACCCACACGCAAACATACTTCTCAGGCACTGTGCCGGTGTTGGTATTAGATAATTGCACTTACTTGAGTATTGATTTACCATAACGGCAAATCGGGGGGAAAATCTTTTTACGTTGCTTGGTTAATGTTGTGGCTTTGTAATGGTTTTTGTGAATTATGTAGCAGCTTTTACTTCCGTGGTATTCACATATTTACAAGAGGTGGACGTTTTGGGGAATGTATTGGCAGCTGGATGAGAAGAGTGGAGAGACTTTATACAATAACAAAATCTGCCGACCGGCTCCACTAAGCTGCTTTCAGACGAGCAACTAAAGTTCAGACGTTTTCGATGTAAATATAAAGTATTTCAATATAAAGGGCCTTTTTTCTGGAGTGAAGAAATCTACAATTCATACAATTTAGATGAAACAAACTACTGACCACATCATGAGGATTATTCTATATTAGATTTCTGCCAATAGATCCCTTTCACTTAAATCTGGACCTTTAATCCTAGCCTAAACTAAGCTAATAAACTGTCATAGCCTCATATTTACCACACACATATGAGGGCAGTGTCAATACGCTCATTGAAAGTATTTCATAAGATACTATATAACAGAATGTGATGAATGCTGTAATTTTCAGGTCCTTAGTTTTCTATGTTACATCGACTCACTCTTGTACAAGATGGTGGCTCAGAGATGCTTTCCGAGGGAAGTCAATAACAGAGAGTGTGGTGGAAATTTATCTCGGGATGTGAAATAAAGAGTTTCTCAGACCGGAATTATCTTTGGGTCTTTGATAGAAAGCTCTGCAGAGGGTTTCACAACAACCCATAGGGAAAGAAAATGGTTTAATACAGTCAGGTAAACAGGAAACATAAGAGACTGTTTCTATGAAATAGCATGAAAACTGAACTTTAGTCTGGTTAACAGAGGAAGCGGTCTGCTCTAACTTCTGCATGAAAGAAGAAGTTTTCTACTGCACAGATCAGAGTCAAGAAGAGGATCATCATCAAGAAAGGTCATGAACTCTGAGGTTACATCTGCCAAGTGCATAGCAACAGTCATGGCATTGGATAGTTAAGGGTAAAAAAGTAAAAGGTGCCTGTCTTGTTTCGAATCATCCATCTGCATGTACGCTCTTATGCGAGTACAATTGGGTTTCTATATGTGTTATATACACGAGCATTGTTTAGACATAGGAAAGAGTTCAAGCAAAGTTCATATGCAAGTTTTCCATTACAAGAGCAAACGAGGTGGATGAAGCTCCTGTTGTTTACATTACTATTATTTTTCAAATTATCAAACAAAACTTCTTTGCCTCTGTTTCAGCATTATGTCAGGTCTTCTCTAACCATGAGAAGATAAGGATATCGGAACTTTAACACACACACCAAGAAAAAGGAAAAACATGGAGGATGGACAAACAGACTCATCTTTCTATTTTCCGCATTCCCTTCCTTCTCTCTTGCTTATTCTCCTTTTGTCCTAAAGAAGGACATTTTTGTCCCATGGGGTATAATATTATTGACGTCTAGAGATGAGTTATTGATTGAGAGGAGAGGACAGCGAGACAGTTGACATGCAGCAGACTACGACTCCAAGTAACCAGGCAGCATAAGCAGTCATACATGTCTGTGGTGTGTAAGAAGGGATACGCTGCTTACACTTTCAGTGTCTCGGCCGATGTGCAACGTATCAGTTTTGTTAGAACATGTAAAACATGGGGAAAGAGGAGGAGTGGGCGCACGTCTTTTCCTGCAGGCCTCTTGAGCTTTGCTGCTCGCTACACATCTTTATATGTCGGGACATTGATGCAACGTGGCTTTGTTCTAATGCCTT